GGGGGAAAGGGAGGCGAGGGAGGAGGAAGGAAGGGAGGCAGTAAAGAATAAGGTGAGGGAGGGAGGGAGGGAGGGAGGGAAGGGTTGGTAGGAGCAAGGAGAGGGAGGTAGGAGAGGGGAGTAGCTGTAAGACCTGCAGGTGGTCAGGAAGGTCTCTTGCTTGCTTCTTCTTAGCGTTGTTGTAGTCCTGGATCGAACCCTTGGAGATCTTGATGAACCCTGCCTTCTCTCTCGGCCTCTGCTCCTCCTCGTGCGCATCGTTCTCGAAAAAGCCCATCTGATAGTCATGATCATGATCATAATTAGATGAGGAGGAGGAAGGGGAGGAGAAGGAGGAGAGGGAGTATTGTCAATACCTTCTCTTTCTTCTTCTTCAACCTTCTCTTCTGCTCTTGCAGCCTCTTCTTCTCCCTCCTGCTTGCTGATCAGCTCCTCCCTGCCCGTGCTCGTGCTCGTGCTCGTGCTCGTCTCCCCCCTCCTCTTCCTCCTCCTCACCTCGCGTCTGCCTTCGCTCGCTCATCGTTTTGATCGTCGTTCATGTCCACGGCCCGGGCGTTGTGTCGTGCCACAATCTTGGCGACTTCGTCGGCATTCTTGATCAAAGTATGCTGCAGCGACTTGTGATGTCCTAGCAAGAGAAGAAAGAGCAACAAGGGAGATGGAGGAGGAGGTGAATGCTAAGACAAGCAGGAAATACAGGAGGAGACGTGCACAGGATGAGAATGAGAATGAGGATGTGGTGGAGGAGAACGATGATGATGATGATGATGATGATGATGATGATGATGATGATGATGATGATGATGATGATGATGATGATGATGATGATGATGATGATGATGATGATGACGATGACCACGACGATGACGACGACGATGATGAGGATATTAATCGAATGAATGAAATCGTCACCTTCCACTTGCCAGTCCCCGAGTGAGAATCAAGCTCATATCGCCACCGTCGGGCTATCGTCGATTTCCTCACCCCGACTGTGCTCGAAGGCGCAAACTCCTGCGCATGGCGGTCAGCTGGAGTCGAGCAGGGCAGGAACAAGTGCCCACGTCGATCTTGTCGTCCTCGTTCTCCTCCTCGCTCGACGACTCGGGCTCGTTCTGAGAGATCGTCTCGAGCATCTCCTGGAATATGATCTGCTTCCTCCTCGTGTAGTCCAGCTGGAACTTCTTGTCCTTGGGGTCATGCCGAGGGTTGAACATCTGATCTCTGACCGCCGGCTCTCTTGCCTTCCTGCTGCCCACCAGCAGGGAGAGGTTCAGCGGCACGCGGTGATCCGAGGAGTTGACGAAGGAGTTGGACACGTTCCAGGGGGCCAGGCTGACGAGTTCGAGGACGCACTGAGCTGCTGTGGGGATCAACTTGACGTCGTTGTCGGCGGTGGATTCAGCGAAGCTCTTGTCCTTGACGATGTCCTGCACGGACGAGGCGATCTCGTCCGCTTTCTGCACAGTCTTGATCCCCAGATTGCGCAGCCTCATCTGCCCCGCCTGCAGGCTCTCGAACAGACAGACGTTCTCTGGCGTGTCGGAGATCTCCATCACGTCCTTGGGGATCTCAAACCCTTCCTTGAGCGTCCAGTGCCCTCCCTCCCCTCCCTCCCTGTTGAACTGCGCGCAGTCCTTGAGCTGCTTCCTGATCGCCGTCTCCGACGTCGCCTTGAACTCATCGAACACCTCATGCGTGTGTAGGATCCCTCCTCCCTTCAGCCGGCCGTAGATGAAGTTGATAAGGTGCCGTTTCTGGTATGCCGCCTGCTCCTTGGAGTTGGGGGCAGGGACCTTGACGAAGGGATGGCACTGCCCAGCGCAGTAGAGCGAGTCGATGGGCTTCAGAAAGAACTTGTCGCCATTCTTGACGACCAGGAAGTCAGTCGGATGCGGCTCGTGCTTGGCGATCGGGGCTCTCTGCATGTTGTTCTCTAGGGCAGAAACGAACGAGTTGGCTCCCTCCGGTATGTCGCCGTAGAAGGGAGACTCTTGCTGCACGTCCAGACCGACCGGCTTGCCGTCGTTGAGATGCTCGGAGGGGATAGAGGGAGCAGGAGCATCGTTGCGGCTTCTGTAGTAGTGCCGGATCCTGGAAGCCATTCCAACGTTGGAGACGACGGGGGGGATCTGCTCGTAGTACTCGACAAGGAGCGCCTTGGAGTCCGAGCAAGTGACGTCCCGCATCTTCTTGAGCGCCTGGATCTTCTCCTCCGCTCCCTTGAGCATCTTCTTTTCCTTGGACTTCTCCGACGTCTGCAGCGGCCTGAACGTGATAACCTTGATCTTCTCCCCCTCAAACAGTCTCTGCCGGTGGAAGTTTGTAAGGTGCGCGTCTTTGACCGTGTTGCTGATGTTCTTCTGCTTCGCCGACTTGGTGCAAGGAGCGTTGAGCACCTGCGGCCGCCCGAGCTTGATCCTCGCCTTCGATCCGCTGCCTCCCTGATAGTACTGGTCGTGGGAGATGTTCAACCTCACCGACAGGTCCTCCAACGACAGGGAGTTCAGCTCGCATCGAGCGATGGTCCACCATGGCGGGATGCAGGTGTGGACATGCTCGCGCTTGGTGTGTGGCGCCATGATCACCCGCTGGGCAGAGAAGGAAGTCCCCTTCATCGCTCTCGGCAGCCGTCGACCCTTCACGACATACTTCGAGTCCATCTTCGCTGCCTTCCTGTCTTTGTCCTGCCAGATGATGTTGAGCAGCCAGCTCCCGTCTTCCAGCGCTTGATTGTACTCTCCTATCCTGACCGTGTTGGTGGGGTTCAACTCATCTCGCTCTATAAAGTACTTCTTCGCTTCCACTAGCCTCTGCTCAATCGTCGGCTCCTCCGACTGGCTCTTCCTAACCCTTGATTCGCCAAGAGCCCCCGAGACCCCTCGAGCCTTCTTGGCAACGTTGTTGGTGTGATCGTTACCGTACTGAGCTTCTACCATCATCCCGTCATCATCGCCATCAACGTCCTCGAAATCGTCACTGTCAACCTCTTCGCCCTGTCAAACGTTCTCAGCTCCTTCGTCAGGATCATTCTTGCATTCATTCACCTCATCTCCCTCTTCCTCTTCGCGCTCACTCTCCTCCTCCGACGACCCCCAGATAATGTTGTCCTCCCACATTTGCGACTCAATCGGAGCAAGAGGTCTGAAAGCTGCAGCTGCAGGCGCCTTTGCCGCCTCCTCCTGCACCTGCTGGGCTTCAGCCTTCACCGTTTCCTCGGGCATCACCGCCTCGTCTTGCGGCAAGGCAGGGGGCAGCTCAGGCTGAGATTCGTTGAGGTCCGTGATCTTCTTTTCCTCTTCCACGTCCCCTTCATCCTTGTCTTCCTCCTCCTCCTCAGGCTCGTTCAGGCCCATGTGATAATCTCGGAACCTCAAGCTTGCAGCTGCGGCTGCTCTCCTTGCAGCCTCGTCGACGAAGCGTTCTTCATCATCGCTCATCACTTCCATCTTGACGCTGGACGAGTGGGTGACTTTTCGGTTCTTGGACATGCGCACAGGGATGGAGGGCCCAATGTACATCTGGCTGAGAAGGAGCAGGCCGTTCTTCCTCAAGCTCGCTTCGGTGGCATGTATCAGCTCTGCTTGTATCACTCCGGCCTGAGACTTAGGAGCCTGCGGTGCGGCTGCCTTGTCCTCCTTGGATTTCTGATGCTCTTCATCTGCTTGCTCCTGCTCTTCCAGAGATTTCGCGTCTTGTTTGGCTTCATTGTCTTGATCCTTCTTGTCAGCAGCCTTCTCTTCCGCCTGTCCTTCCCCTTCCTCCTCCTCTTCATCGTAGTCATCATCAACTTTCCTGGTGCTTTGCTGCGCGGACCCTTGAGAAAGGGCGAGCGACTTCGCCTTTGCTACGTAAACATCTGTCTTGCTCGTATCCTCTTCCTCTTCCGCCACCTCCGTCTCTTTCGAGAAGTCGATGGCGTTAGCAGCTTTGGGGATGTAATCTGCATCATCGGTGACCGCGGTGTCCTGCTCGGTGATCGCATCTCCAACAATCGTGCTCTTCTCCTGCCGTGTTGTCCGCACGAGACCATTGACGGTATCTTCATCATAACCATCTTGATCAACCTCAAACTTCTCGTTGATGTTTCCCAACCATATCTTCTCAAGGAGCCCCGAACTGTCTGTCATGATGATGCAAGACTCTCGAGAGGAGGTTTAACTCTAGCTTGAGCTATTTCATCCTTGATTGTTGTGGAATCTGCAATGAAAAGCAAAGTTCAGATGTCAAGAGTGTTGAGAATTCGATTGCTTCTTGTCGAAAATCTGCATTTCATATTTTGACCTGATTCGCCCGCTCAGGCATGCCTACTTTACTGCGGTTACCTTCAAAATCTCACTATCTCAAATATCACATTCTCCCTTGGCGACCTATTCCTCGTTTCATCACATGAGTTATTCCATGATGAGACCATCCTTATCTATTCCTTCCCTTTCCACCCATTGACCATCATCTGTCAACAAACCGCACTCCACCCCCCTATCCACAAATCGTTACGCTCCGCATTCTGTTCATGTCCCTATATCGCTTGAATGTGCAGCCCTCCTGCTTGTCCTGTCCTTACGCAAGATCTCCTCTCCTCTCCTCTCCTCTCCTCCCCTCTCCTCTCCTCTCCTCTCCTCTCCTCTCCTCTCTTCTCTTCTCCTCTCCTCTCCTCCCTTCTCCTCTCCTGTCCTCTCCTCCCTTCTCCTCTCCTGCGTCCTCTCCTCCTCTCCTCTCCTGCCCTGCCTCCCTCCCTCCCTCTCCTCCCCTCTCCTCCCCTCTCCTCCCCTCTCCTCTCCTCTCCTCCCCTCCCGTCTCCTCCCGTCTCCTCCCCTCCCTTCCTCCCCAACCCTTCCTGGTGTCCCCATCATTGAAATTTCTGCCAACATTAGTGCGTGCAGAAAAGTAACGGAAATATAACGGTTAAATAACGTTGTCATCATTTTCAAAACCTATCGTAACCGCCAAGCTAGGAATTCTGGTTGAAATCGATTCCAAGGGTCTTTGAATCGATTTGAGTCGGGATAAAATCGATTCGGATCTATTCAAATCGTCGGGCATGCTATTGATTGTGTCCGCATGACGGAGCCAACAGTCGCGAGCAGCGGGAGGAGGAGGAGCGAGGTGGAGAGCGCGTATGGTCAAGATGAAGTGAGAATGGCGTGGTAACTTGGACGGTAGAGGACAGAAGCGGGTGCAGCGAGTACAAGGAGACATGGGAAAAGGTTCCCGCACTAGATCGCAACCCTGAATTGCAGTATCCAATGGTTGACCTGGTGTTGTTTTGATGTGATCATCGGAATGATTCGGAACAGTATGATGGCAACAGTGATCGTAAAACTCAAGTGTCTGATATCCCTCTCCTTGGTCGGTTCAGCACGGCTCCCACTTACATCATCGCTGACCACTTCGCCTATAAGGAATCTACTTCTTCGTGGAGGGTCAGAGTCGCCAGGTGAGTGTGTATGATGCTGAACTATCACTGAGTCAGTGTTGATGTAGGTACAAAATTGGATTGTCACGTCAAGCTGTCCCTGCCTCTGCAAGATTCTCTCAAGGAAGTGAAGGTCGTGGGGTCATGGGATGGTTGGAAGGCCCGTCACCCGCTGCAGCGGAATGAGGACGCGTTTGAAGCTTCTCTCAGCTTGCCAGAAGGGTTGTATGAGTTCAAGTTCATCATGGATGGAAGGTGGACAACGAACGATGGGTGGCCGCTATCCAAAGATGGGCATGGAAATGCCAACAATGTCCTCAACGTGACGATGCCGGAGGTCAAGATAGAAGAGGTTCAGGCTGCGGAAGAGGTTCAGAATACCAACGTCTGCAAGGCTCCTAGGAGACTGAGGTGACATGTCTCACTTGTTGAGTACAATGCTCATGGCGATCAAGGTGTGGGCTGTTTGCTTGGGAGAGCCTGCATACAGTAGCAGCTGGCGGGGTTGCCCCGCACGTAACGGAGTTAGCAGCGGGGCTGGTAAGAGCGAAGGGTGTAGTCACAGTTGTAGCTGATGGCGTAATATGACAGGAAAGAAGAGGACATGAAGTTCATCTTTTCGTCCGAGCTGGTTTCTCAAGTTTTGTTGGATGACTTCATGTAATACGCCAAACTCTTCAGCTCCAGGTCAAGACCCATACGCTTGTGTGCATGGGGTGCATTTGGTATGAATCGCTGAGAATGATGTGAAACGGATGGTGACGTTCGATTCCGACAGCATCGCATCCCGTACGGAAAGCATGGGGATATCGTGAAGGATTGCGACGTCATGTGTGAGCAGGCGAGACGAGCATGTGAAGATCTTTTTGTTCTGACTTCGTCGCTCCCTTCCAGTTCTTTTGGCTGTGCCAGTGGCTGGAATCTTTTCAAGTATATCTACGGGCAATAGCACACTTTTGTTCTGACTTGCTCGTCAGAAAGATTTTCACTTTGACATACTACACGCCCATGACTGGCTAGCTGCCAAGGTATGTCGCAAAGGGTATCATCCGCACTGATGTCCTTGACAGGTTATCGTCGCAGCCAAACAGTGAAAGAGAAGATTATATACGTTCATGATCTGATATCTGACTCAGATTCCCGGGAAGGAGGCACAGAGCTGTTGTGACGATGCATTCGACTGAATGGGGACGATGTGGGCAGAAGGTATATACCTGTACATACAAACACGTTCTGAGCTCCCACAGTATGCAAGATGGAAATGTGAAGGGCAGTCAGGCCTTATCAGAGAGATAGAACGTGCTGCCTGCGAGGCGGCCGACAGGTTTCACTCGCTGAAGTTGACGTGCCTGACTGCTGTCGCAAAGAGTCATCTGTGTGTCCGGAGTGCTAGAGGAGGAAGTAAGGATGTTGTACGATGTCCCAGGTCAGTGTGATCTTGCTCCGCCTCGTGATCGTGAGAGGTGGACAAGCGTACAAGACACGTACGATCTACAATGCGATCCATGTCCGTCAGTACGAGTGTGTTCAGGTGGACCCTGGACAGGTCTCAAACCTCCTGGGACTTTCTGTCGATGACTTCCAAGCAGATCAAGCGGCAGATAGGATTTGACTGGTACAACCCGATGATTCTCTTCGTGGGACGTATGGTAGAACAGAAGGTCAGTTGGCTCCTGACTCGCTTGTTCTCCGACCAATTGGACCTTACAGGGTCCTGATATCTTGCTCGACGCCGTGCCGCAGATCTTAGCAAACAACTCGGAAGCTCGGGTGATTTCATCGTACACATGCCCTTCACAGTCAAACACATCCCTTACGAATCTGCATCTCCTCCTCATCTCCTTCAGCTCTTAAAAAGGTGTCGCAGATCGTCTTCATCGGAAACGGCCACATGCTCCCTGACATGAAGGAGCGAGCGATTGTGAGTGATCCTGCCGTCCTCACGGGAGTTGACGCGCCTCTCCAGGCCCTCGGTGTGTCGCATGCCGTGCGTTTCCTTGGGTCAGCATCAGGAGATCCGCTCAAGATGTACGAGAAAGCCTGCGATGTCCTGGTGTGAACTTGTGGGGGTCAAGTGCAATATATCATGACCTTTCAGGTGGTTCCCAGTCGGAATGAGCCGTTCGGCATCGTCGTCTTGGAGGGATGGGCTTGCCACAAGGTGATCCGCCTGCTGCTTGCTCGACCCTTCCCCTCCCCTCCCTCCATCGCCCTCGAGTATGTTCCTGTTCAAGGCCCTCCCTCCCTCCCTCCCTCCCTCCCTCCCTCCCTCCCTCCCTCCCTCCCCTCTCCGTGTGTTTCATTCACTCGTGTCTTGAAGCCTGTTGTTGCTACCACGTCGGGTGGACCACGGGAGTTCCTGTGCTCTGAGAGGTGAAGGAGGAAGCCGGTAGAAGGTTTTCTGCTGACGATGGTGAACAACCAACGTAGGGAGGGTATCCTGAGTGATCCCGTCGCCGAGAACGTGAGCGCAAGCGTCACGAAACTCCTGTCCAACTGGACGAAGTTGCAGGAGATGGGGGAGAACGGATTCAGGAAGTGTGCAGAACACTTCAACTGGGACTCCATTGCACAACAAACAGAAGAAGTGTACTATGCAGCTGTAGGGTGAACTCCGTTTTTTCGACTTGTAACATTTATTACTTCGAAAATGAAACCAAGGGAAGAAAACATGTCCTAATCACAACAAACTCTCATGCAACAACACGAATATGTGTTTGTCTCCTATCTATCTATCTCTTCTACCTGTCTCTACCCGTTCTTCCTCCCTTCTCGCTCCTGGATACTACTTTTCCACTGATTCTTGTATGGATTCGCCATACAAGAATGTACTGCCTTTTCCCTTCAAGTTTCGAAAATTCAATATGAATTCTTGGATTAATTTTCAAACTATGAAGAAATACTTCAAGCATTTCATAATGAAGCCTTCGGGTCTCGGGATTGTTGGCGATGGTAGCGCTTACGGAGGCGCTGGTGCTGGAGAGGACGAGGGCGGAACAGCTGTCGAGCGTCAGGAACCTCAACTTGTGGGGGAGCAACCTGGAAGATGTTTCCATCCTCAAGGTCATGCTGCTCTTGCATCCTCTCACTCCGATCCGCTCCTCTCCCCGATCCTTCCCTGATCATCATGACAGCAAATGCCCAATGTCGAGGTCCTGTCTCTGTCCGTCAACAGGATCCGAACGCTCTCAGACTTCCGGCATTGCCTGAAGCTAAGTGAACTCTACCTGCGTAAGAATGAGGTGAAGAAACAATCGCTGTCATGGTGGGCTAACGCTTGTTTTTGTCAAGATCGTTGACTTGAACGAGCTGCGGCAACTGCAGCACCTGAAGAATCTGTCGGTCCTATGGCTTTGCGACAATCCATGCGTAAGACTTTCACAACGATCGTCAGAGCTACATGTGTCTTCTTGTTGTCGTCTCTGATGATTGTCTTGCACGTCATGACAGGTTGGTGATTGTATAGCTACGTACAGAGCACAGACTATAGCCATGTTGCCCAACATTACCAAGCTCGACAACATCGATGTGACAGAAGAGGAAAGGAGAGAAGCATCAGAAACCTATAAGAATCTTTCTCCAACAATGGCACAGGACGAGGATGTTTGCTGCTCGTCGCACGAGAAGGCAGACGCAGCAGCAGCAGCAGCTGAGCTCGATCGCCAAGAAGCAGACCGTTTCGAAGCTGCAAACAACGCCGTCCATACAGAATCGCAGAACAATATTCTTTTTGCTGTTCTTGCTCTGCTCAAAGAGCTTGACCGAGACGCATTGCGGACTGTGGAATCAGAAGTTCTTCACAGGTTGAGGAGCACTGATTCGTCCAGGAAGCATTGAGAACATCCTTCAGGACGTAGCCCTTTCTTTTATTGTTTTCCTCTCCGTATCTATTACAATGATTGTATCTTCTTGTCTGCAAAGCTTACATTTCACCTGGTAGTAGTGTAACAGTTACATATGTTCTTCAACATCTATCTTTCACGACAAGTCGCAAGTCTTTCTTCACTGTACAGCCTGAGTAGAACGACATCTGGTCTCAGCCGTCGTCAGCAGCGATCATCTTGAAATTTTGAAATGAGAAATGAGACTAGCGGCAGCATCTTCAGCATCTTACTTGCTGCCGCCGCAGGTGGTGGCAGTGAAGAACAATCGCAGTGCAAGTGTAAGAACTGGAGCTCTGTTTGCTGGTGCTCTGAGATGGATGAACTCTCCTTTCATCATAGTAGGGCACAGCGAAAGTGATAACAACATCTCCATTGAACTTCCCACCAAGCATTACCCTGTGAGTTAATCCAACAATCGTCGCCATCAAGGATCCTTGAGATGCAGCTCCGATCCTGCACGAGCCATAGACTCGTGCTGACTATTTCATCGAGTACGTCACATGTGCACCATCAACTTGTATGTGTACAATTCTGTGTGATCCCGAACGGGTATATACAATACTCTGTGATGTGATGAACGGCATCCGCTTTCAGCCTCTTCCAGAATCAACCAGTCTGTCGCCCTCTGTAGATCGTGACCTGTCATGCTTTCGTTCAGCGATCTACCTGATGATCTCGTCTGCTTCTTCTGCGCATCTTGCAGCCATGTCAGTCCATGCAGCTGTGCTTGCGGCATGCTGGTCCGCAAGTTGGTGGGATAAAAAAAAAGATCTTTTTTTAGTTGGCATTTCCGAGCCCGCCTCGGAGGGTTTTTGAAAGATGGCGGGAGCCATGCAGGTTGAAACGAACAAAGACATCTCGATGACATACAACACACATCATGTTCATCACATGCATTGTGTTCATCACATACTTCATGTGCATCACATAATTCATTTCCATCACATGCATCATATTCATAACATTCATCACAACCATCACATACCTCGCAATCATCGCATACTTTGTACACATCGCGTACAACACAGACGTATCATGAATTGATCTGCCTTTCGTCTCAAACTTATCCCGTCTGTAACCACACACTTGTCCGACCTGTCTTGACTAAGTATGTGTCTCACATCACATCATCCATATCCATCTCTCCTCCTCACCCTCCCCTTGCAAGAGTTTCTACCTCACATCTGCCCAAGGTGGTGGATGCATGGGCGGGGATGGTGAAGGCCATCACCAACCCAAGTCTCGGGAGCAACGAGGAGAGTCTGAAGAGCAGCCTGAAGGTGATCAGTGGCAGCGAACTATCGGAGCACGCAGTGGCATGGTTTCTTAACTTCTCGAATGCTGCTGTTTCAAGAGACATCTCGCCCAAGTGAGTGACTTCCTTCAGACGCATCCCTCCCTCCTGACTTTCTTGCAGCTTCTGGAGATTTTTGGAAGCGTACTCGGATGTCCCGGAAGACGACAAGAGTGCATGGACCAAGGAGAACATCTCGAAAGCGCTGGATCTTGCGAGCTCAAGTCTGGAGCGACAATTGGAGGTTATGTAGACGTTCTTCCTTTTGTTGTTTGTTTGACGCATGATCAAGGTTGCCAAGTTGGTAGCAGCAAGCCTTGGTTCAGAGTATCAGGTTGAGAGGAGATGCAAAGCAAACTTCTCTGCTGTCTTGTTTGCCAACGTCCCAGAGCACTTCTATGAGGTATGATGTGGCTGTTTGCGTTGTGTTTTGCCGATGCTGTTCGAACAGATTCTCTACTCTTTCTTTCAGAGCCATTTTGCTTCTTTCGAAGTTGAGGAGGCTGAATGCAACTACCTCCTGCTGGAAGGTTGAGAGCCAATGCCCTGCTAGTGAGGTTGGGTCACAGTGAAACAGTTGCGGCCGATGAGAGGAAGAATGATAGATTTCACAAACTTTGTCGTCAACTCCGACAGGTTTTCTTGACCTTCTGCCTTGACGTATTCTCCTCTTCCTGACTCCTTCGTACAATTCCGCTTTTCAGATCGGAGCGCTATCAATCGTAGAAGAAACTTTCGTGCCTTCGGAAGCCTGACCTTGCCTTGTCGCCAGGGCCACCATGGCGGAGAAGAAGGCGCTCATGTCGGCAAACAGAGTTCTGTCCATGTGTGAGAAGAAGTGGGAAAGTCAAGTGCTAGAGGAGGTCACGATATGGGCGAAGCAGAAAGTTTTCCCGTTTCTTCGTCACCTGCTGTTGGACCTGAACGAGGAGCCATGGTATGACATCGAATACCCCGACGACAACCTGGAAAACGCGCACATCAACATAACTCACAATGCCAATCGCTACGTTGTTCTGCAGCGCCGACTAGAGCTGTTCTTGTACGAGACTTTTAGGTGGTCGCTGACTTTTGAGCGATCGTATCCTCAGTTGTGTTGACTGCTCTGATCAGCAACCTGCGGATATCAGAGATGTTTGACATCATTGTCGAATATCCTGACTCCCTTGCAGCCATTGCGGACCTCAGATATGCCCTGGGCAAGACTCATCAGTACATGACAACCTGGAGCCTGCGAGTTCTCAAGTTTGGCAGGTTCTCGGAACTTGTGACGTCGTTGAAGATGGTCTTTGAGAAGAGACTCCTGCATGCGGGCGCGAACACGTCAGACATTATCACACAGTACATCTCTTCGATGAAGGTAACGGATCTCCTTTCTACATCTTCAGCTTTTCTTTCCTTCTTTCTTCCTCCATCTCCTCCTCTACCATCATCAGCAACACCTCTTGCACCACCTCCTCCTCCACCACCTCCTCCCTCCCCCCTTTCCTCCTCTACCTCTACCTCAACCATGTCCTCCTCGTATCTGCTTCCTGACAGTTCCTCCAGGCTCTGCACGACTTGGATCCTTCAGGGACGACGCTTGCCGTTGTGAGCAAGCCCATCCAACAATATCTGCGAGGACGGTCAGACTCGGAGAATTCTATCATCTCCTTTCCTTTCTTCCCGCTCTTCCTTCCTTTCTTGCGACTCTTCCTCTTCCTGCTCTTTCTCCTCTGTCTCTCTTCACCCTTGTCCATCCCCTACCTCGCTCCTCTCCTCCCTCTCCTTCTCTTCCTTCCCGCTCTTCTTCCCTTCTGCTCACCGACCATGGCAGCAATGACACGGTGCGCTGTATCGTGACGGGATTGACGGACGACAGCACGAGCGAGCTGTTCCAGGAGCTCAGGAAAGGGGGTTCGGAGAGCAAGTGGCGGCCGAAAGCTGCGGATGGGGATGCAGGAGACGAGGAGGACGGGAACTACGACGAGAGCGGGAAGGAGGAGGTGGAGATTTGGAAGCCTGAGGTCGTTCACTTTGGTGCTGCCCAAGTCTCCTACGGGAAGGTGAGGACGATGAAGCAGCAGGGAGCGAGGATGAGAAGAAGACGAGGATGAGGACGAGGATTTGGTGGTGAAGGAAACTTGCAGCCTCAGTACTTATGGGAGGAGGGGAGGGCAGGGATGGCTGATGTGTAGGATCAGGGCTCGCTCGACATCATCGGCATGCTGATCGACATCTATGGAAGGCAAGAGATGCTGATGACGTTCAGGGAGGAGAGCTGAGCATATCGCAGTGCGGACTTGTTCCTCAATGAATATTGCTCCCTCCTGAGCGACAAGCTGCTGGCTATGACCTCCTACCAGATCGACAAAGAGGTCCTTTCTACGTCTACTGCTCCTCTCCTCAGACTGCCTCCCTTGCTACCCCTTCTTCCCTTCCCCTCTCCCTCCTTCCTCTTCTACCTTCCTTCTTCTTTACCTCCCTTCCTCCCCTCTCCCCCGCCTCTCCTCCCCTCTCTCCTTTCTTCTCCTTCTCTCCTCTCTCCTCCCCTTCCTCCCTTCATCTCCTCGCCTCCCTCTCCCTCTCCTCCCTCTCCTCCCTCTCCTCCCTCTCCTCCCTCTCTCTCACTGTCCTTATCCTTGCAGCTTCACAATCTGGAGCTGCTCAAGATCAGGTTCGGCGAGGGTTCTCTCCACAACTGCGAGGTGAGCGAGGGAGAGCATGGCGGGTGAGAACGTCGAGTGAGGATGAGCAGGTCATGCTGAAGGACCTCGGGGACTCAAAGAGGCTGGACGCCTACGTACACAACGAGAGCAAGAAGGGAGCACTAGATGCTGAGGTATCTCCACCACCACCACCACCTCCTCCTCCTCCTCCTCCTCCTCCTCCTCCTCCTCCCCCTCCCTGCCTCTCCTCCTCCTCCTCCTCCCTGCCTCTCCTCCTCCTCCTCCTCCTCCTCCCTGCCTGTCCTCTTCCTTCCCAGTCAATCAACATGGAGCAGGTGGCGAGCTGGCTCAACGGGAAGATTTTGTCCGCGTCCTTTTGGCCGTCGCTCAACTCGGAGAACATCAAGATGCACCCGATGATCGACCAGCAGCTGCAGAGCTACGGGCGCTACTATTCCCTCCTCAAGAAGCCTCGAGCCCTCAAGGTACCCTCGCCCTCCACTGCATCCCCATCCTCCTCCTGCTGCTGCTCCCCACTCGTGACCCTCCCCCTCCCTTCCGCCTGCTCCTCCTTTTCCTCATCATTGCCTCCTCCTCCTCCTCCCCCTCCTTCGTGACCCGACCCCTGATCCCTACCCCTCCTCCTCCTCGTCCTCTTCCCCCTTGACGTTCTCCCTCTCCCTCGTTCCTGACTCTCGTATGGCAGTGGAAGCCAACTCTCGGAGTTGTCAAGCTCAACCTGAGCTTTGAGGACGGGAGGGAAGTACCTTTCACCGTCTCTCCCGTCCTCGCCAACCTCATCCTTCACTTCCAAGACAAGCCCTCATGGAAACTCGCGGAGCTCGCGGAAGTCACTGAGCTTGCAGTGGATGCGGTGAGTGAGAAGAGGACGAGGACGAGGACGATGCGGCGGGGGTTGTAGGCATCGAGGATGGAGGGGAGGCGGAGGAGGAGGAGGAGGTGGAGGAGGAGGAGGAGGAGGAGGAGGGACTGAGAACGGCTCAGGTGAGGAAGAGGATGGTCTTCTGGGTGGGCAACGGGGTATGTCAGGAGCAGCCTCCTCCATCGGGAGCGTGAGTGCAGCAGCAGCTCCTCATATGCCTTGAGTGACGAGCGAGCCGAGCAGGGGGATCGGGGAAACAGTGTACACAGTGGTGGAGAAAGCGACCGGACCTGTGATGCAGCAGACGACGTAATGTCTTGCTCCTTCCTGCTGATTCTCTTGCTCTGCTTGGCTTACCTCTCTACCTCTCCTCCTCCTCCTCTCT